GGTTGCTGGCTGGGGCTAAACCACGACATCCCCCTATCTTGCTGATGGAGGGAGATTGAAAAAGAGGCTTGATGGATACCTGCTGGCCAGCCAAGCTCGACCCACCACAGCTGCATTTCCACAAGAGGAAGTCACTTGCTAACATCTGAGACACACTTCCAGTTTCTTCTTGTGACAGCCAATTTTGTTTGAAGAAAAAAAAATAAAATTCACATTTAGTGATTATCTCTCTGCAGCTGGTATTGCTTAGGGTGTAAGCACAGAGATCAAACATAATACTGTTGTTTCTTGAATAGAGAACTGTGCATCTGTTACATTCTTCTAACAATACATCAAGAATAAAAGTTACATTTATGAATGAGTCCTGTCAACCTATGCTGCACTGCAGAGACTATATTTCAAGAGTAGTTTTGTTGCAGCTCTAATACTGTTTTTTGGTTCTGTTTGTTGTTACATTGGTAAAAGAATTATAGTATGGCCTTTAATTTATATAAATGCATAGTTAAGCATGAAATCATGGTGCAACATTTTTAGACTTTGTTCTCAAAGCAGTTATGGTCTCAAATGGCAAAATATTGCTGTTTTGAGATGATCACTGTGCAACTACTATTAAAATATAAAGCAAGTTATGCAAATCTTACAAATTAAGTAATAAAGTAATTTTAAAAGAAATTATTAACCAGTGAGTGGGACAGGGATTCAAGCTTTAGACCTAGAAAACTAACTAAAATATGCTCTGGCAAACCCCGGCTGGTGTAAGTAGAACTATTCCATTAATATCTGTAGGCCTACACAAGCCAGGTACCCAGAGATCACTATAGTAAGAAAGAATAGTGCACAAAGTGCAATATTGCAATGCATCTTGAGACTAAGAAGGTCTGGTAAAATGCCTTAATTCATTATGAACATTTATTATCAAACATAACCACATTCCCTAAAAATAGTATCTACATCAGTTATAAACTGGAAATCTTCTAATTAGTTTAATTCAGATTGTGGACCTATCTGTAGCACAAAATCTTTTAACTTTTTAAGCTAAATTTAAGTTATGGAAGATGAATTTTAATTTTCCTACAGTTATCATAACATTAGATTCTCTCTTGCATCTATCAGTTGCTACTTCTTGAAAGTAAAGCATGTGATTTGTCCAAGCAATAGATACACAGCTTTTATTTTAAACACAGCACTCTCAAACCTAATGCTTGACAGCAAACTGTAAGCCATCTCAGGAGATAGCATCGATGTCCTGGCCTCTTGCTGTCCAGATAGACCCCATAATCCTGTACAGACTAGCAAAGGCAATTCACATTTAAAACCATTTTCCTACATGTAGAAGGGTAGATACTTTACACAAAGGTAAACTCAAAATAAAATAACCTTTCCAGTTTTGGAAAGAGATAAACACTGGAGGAGGGAAAAAAAAAGTTGTTTTCATTTGATTTGTTACTATCTTGCCTTCCCAGCTCTAAGAACTTTTATTATCAGTTTAGCTAACATTCAGTATTCATCTGTATGTGCCGTTTTTAAGTATAAAACACAGTCCCAAAACAGAGTTTTAGAACAAATTTAAAATTTTAAATGTTTTTGAAATAATTATAGAAATTGAAGTGATCTCAGAAACAAAATTATTACATAAATATAATTCCTATACAACTATTTAAAGGTTTTGAAGCCTTATACAGTAATAAAGTTTATTTTCACTTTCAGATTTTAATGAGAAAAAAACAAAACAAAACAAAACCCACCTTTTAACTATAAATTGCTATCTAAGTTTCTCCAGAGTTGTTCTTGGCCTATAATCTCTTAAACTAGTGCCCATTAACAGCATTTAGAAGTGTATAGTTTTAAGCATCATAATCATAAGATTTTTAAAAGGTAGTTTTAAACATGTCAGAGTCTAAAACCAAGTCAATCATTAACATATCTGAAAAAACAAAAGAGAAGGAACAAGCAAAGCAGTATATTTTGTATTGCCCAGGAACTAACAACAGAGTACATATTTTTAAGAGTTGCTAACTATTTAAACATAGTTATGTAAAATGCAAGCATTGTGTTTTAATGATATACCAGTACAGTTGGGAAGGACTTCCATTTTAGGAATATATTTGGCGCTAAATATATTTAGGAATATATTTGGTGTTAGTACATTTCCAAACTCTTTTGCAACATATTCCACTGTGATCTTACCTAATAGAAAATCCATTTTATTCTACTAGCTTAACAATATAATGCCCATGAAAGATATCAGATAGATATTCTTAAAAACAAAACATCTAAGGAGGCTTTCCTGTGCTATCTTTTGATAAAATGAGATATTTTAAAGTCCTGTACTCACAAGAGGTGCTCCAATATCTTCATTCCTTCACATTCCTAAATGCAGCTCTGTCTCAGGCCCATTACACTGCATTGTGCTTCTGTCCTGGTTTCAGCCAGGGTAGAGTTAATTTTCTTCATAGAAGCTAGCGTGAGGCTATGTTTTGGATTTGGGATGAGAAAATGTTGATAACGTGCTGAGGTTTTGAGTTGTTGCTGAGTAGTCAAGGACAGTCCAGCTTCTCATGCTGGCCTGCAGCGAGCAGGCTGGGGGTGCACGGGAAGCTGGGAGGGGACACAGCTGGGACAGCTGACCCAGGCTGGCCAAAGAGATATTCCATACCATATAACGTCATGCTCGGTATATAAAGCTGGGACGAAGAAGAAGGAAGGGGTGGAGGGACGTTCGGAGTTATGGCGTCTGTCTTCCCAAGAAACCATTACGCGTGACGGAGCCCTGCTTCCCTGGAGATGGCTGAACACCTGCCTGCCCATGGGGAGTGGGGAATGGATTCCTTGTTTTGCTCTGCTTGCGTGCGCGGCTTTTGCTTTACTTATTAAACTGTCTTTATCTCAAACCATGAGTTTCCTCACTTTTACTCTTCCAATTCTCTCCCCCGTCCCACAGTGGGGGAGTGAGCGAGCGGCTGCGTGGTGCTTGGTTGCTGGCTGGGGCTAAACCACGACAGCTTCACATTAAACATGCTGACACTGCATCAGCACCCTCCTGCATATCTGGGAGTGTACTCAACCAACAACATCAATATGAGTTTTATCAAATACCATTACAACAGCAATTATCTCTCCTGTTACTAGTAGAAAAAAAAGATACAGTGATCCAACTTCTTATTAAAGATAGCCAGGCTAGGAAGCCGAAGCTGAAAGACAGCACACTATGATAACACTTTATTATCACAGGGAGCCTAGCAGTGGGCTAACATCGCCACACTCCTCCATCACAAAACCCAAAGCAGACCCATGAGGATGGCTTCCATCCACCGAGAGAGATTTAGCTAATAGAGAGAATTTGCACTGCCCACCTCCCCGTCCCTTCTGTGCCTCCCAGGGCAGCATTCACAAGGTGTATGTAGGGTAACTAAAACCAACAATGTTGCAGAGCAAAGATGCCCCATAACCGATCACCAGATATACACCCAACGCCCCAATGATAGCTGCACAAAGCATGTAAAGGGTTGTATTACCAGGGGAGAGGGGCGAGCCCAGCCCCCTCGAGGCACCTCAGGAGTGGGGCCTGGGCTGAACCTTACCTGCGGCACCCCGCTGTGGAGGCGGTTCCTGGGGGTTCCCTTCACCTGTCCCCATGTTCTTCCAGGGCAGAGGCCCTTGAGGATGTGAGGTGCTACCCTGTAGAGCTCCTAGAGAAAGTCAGTAAAGAGGAGAGGAAGGCGTAGGTGATTCTGGAGCTCTATGCAGTGCAGCCGGAGGAGGAGATTGTGCGGAGCCGCTCAGGCAAAGGCACCCCTCAACTCAAGTGCTTCATCACACCCTGGTGAGGATGCGCAGTGACTGGGCTGGGGAGCGGGTGAGGGCACTCACTGATGGCGACGTAGGCCCAGTTCACACCAGTCTTGCTCTCGATTTTCTCCAGCATACTCATTATGCAGTTCTTCTTGTGCAGGAACCTGTCAAATCTCTGCCTCATCGCTGGAGTCATGGCGGTACCAGTGCAGGCGCCTGCTCCTTAGTCCTCACTGATATTTGCAGTTCTGAGCACATGGCGGCTCTGTGTCTGGAACCACCCACATCACCACCCTCCCAGCTGACAG